CCCCCCACCGCCCGGATCCCGGCGCTGCCCCCTCCACAGCGCAGGTCGACCAAGCTGCTGGATGACCCTGGGGCTGGTTGAGGGACGGGGCCTGGGGCCCCCTCTGACTCACCTCCTCTGGAATCTGTGAGAAGGAAGGGCGAGGGGAGTCAGGGCAGGGAGGAGGTGACCACCCTCAGAGTCCCCTCCCTGTCCCCTCCTCACCTCTCTGACCCCTCCCTAGCCCTTCCTCCCCCATCTGTGCCCTCTGCCCCTTCTCCGCCCGCTCTCTCCCCTCCTGCCCTTCTGACGCCAGCCCTCCTCACCCCATCCGATCCCCCACTGGCCCCACCGTTCCATGACTCCCTGTTCCCTCATGCCTCAGCTGTCCCACGGTCTCACCCGGAACACGTGGAAGCCCACGGTGAGGTAAGTGAGGCCCTTGGCCCTCAGGTGCCGCCGGTTGCGTTGGATGAGTGACAGGAGGACCGTGCACTTGGGGGTGCGGCCCCCCTGTGCAGGGCCCCGAGCCCCTGCTGCCCCCCAGCCCCCCCAAGGCCCCTCCTCATCCTCATCCTCCTCCTCATCAGGCTCCAGCAGCGTCAGCCGGAACTGGGGATTGGTCCAGAAGGTGTCTAACAGAGGAGAAAGAAATGGGGCTCCCCAGTGTGCCACAGCCCCCTCCCCCCAGCTTGCCTCTCAGGGCCCTCCCAGGCCTCACCAGCACTCGGCTGGCTCCCACCAGAGTTGAAGCCGCGCACCCAGCGGCCTTGGAAGGTGTGGATGTGCCAGCCGCCTCCCGCCGGGCTGGGACCCAGCACCTCTGGGCTCAGTGAGCAGATCTGGACGGTGTCGAAGTGGTGGAGGAAATCCTGCAGCTCCATCCTGCAGAGCGGGCAGCAGTCAGCCCCTGCCCGGTCCCTGCCTCACCAGGGCCCCCAGGCCAGGCCTCCACATAGCTCCAGACCCAAGAGGTGACCCTGCATCGCAAAGACCTCCTAAATTTCTTCAACATGCCAAGTACCCTTCAGTCTCCAATAATAACTCCCAAATCACTGAGCCCTCGAGTTCCCCCGAATTTCTCCAAATCCTCAGAAATGGCCCCACAAATTGCCAAGATTTACAAACTCCCCCCAAAGTATCATCAAATTGCCTTCAATCCCCAAATATCAAGACCTTGAGACTCTCAATTATCAGCAAGTATCCTTCAGCTCCTCAACGCTGCCAAATTTCAAGTGCCCCAAATGTCACCAAGTGTCCCTTGATTAACCTAAATCCTGCCCCATCCCCTTACAACCTCCAAAGATTACTATGCCTCCAAATTCCCCTAATATTACCACCAATATGGACAGTTTCTCCCCATTAGGACGCAGCCCCATGAACTTTTCTCATGTCCTTGCACGCAGGACTCGTCCCTCCTAGAGCTGGGCCCGAAGAACTCACCAGAATTCACCATCCTCCTTTTTCACCAGCAGAGCCTCTCGCCGATCGGGGGGGAGTGCGTCCCAGCGTGGACAGCTGGAGAGACTGGGGTGTGAGGGGCGGGCAGGTGGAGTTGGGCCCCCCAGCTGCCCCAGACCCATCCCACCTGTCACTCCAGGCCCCGGTCCACTCCACGCGGCCCCACGGGTTCCGCAGCCTCAGCAGCCGCAACTTGGCGAAGCCCAGGGACACCTGAGGGCAGCATTGTCAGTGGGGGTGGCACCTGGACACCCCCTGCCGGCCCACCCACCATGTGGGATAGTCACCTTGTGCGTGCCTGTGACTGAATATGCATGTCCCTTCACCAGCCCGTCTTCTGTACGGTACTCGCCCCGGTCACTCTGGGTCAAGGACAGGCCTTGATGAGGCCGAGGCGGGGGATGGGAGGGGTGCTGCTTCTCCCTGACCCCCAATCTCCCACCACCAAAGCAGGAGCCCATGAGAGCACTGAGCTGAGTGGCACAGGGCTCAGAGAGGGTGCCGGGGTTGGTGGGTGAAGGCAAGAGAGGAAGGAGACAGAGGGGGATGGAAACAAACAAAACCAGATGGAAAGAGGAGAGAGAGACACAGAAACAACGAGAGATACAGAACAGACAGAGAGACAGACACAAAAAAGAGAATCAGTAACCGAGTAAGTGAATGAATGAGTGAATGAGTTAGACCAACTCAATGAATGAATGAATGTGTGATGGGGTCACGGATGACACACAACCCAAGCTAAACCCATGACAATCAATCCGGGACTTGTGTTGAAATTCTCAGAAAGAGGCACTTTTTTTTTAAACCTCTGGGGTGGTGGGAGATATCTGCAGTTATGGGGGACCCTTTTGGTTTTTTTGAGGGGGGACCCTTTTATGCCCATGAGGGGAAAGCCTGTCTGAGAGGGAAGCTAACACAGAACTGGAATAGAAAAACACAGTTGCCTCATCCTCTGAGCACCTGGATCCAGCTGTGCCTGAAGCTTGCCTGTGAGCACACACAGACGTCCTTTTGACTTACTCTGGTTTGATTTGTGAGAGAGAATAAGCCAACAGCAGAAGGTGAGAAGAGAAGGACACAGGAAGCAGCCCCTGCCCCCAGCTCTGACCGTATCCTGGTGGGGGTCCGCATGGGAGTCCACCTCTCTCACCAGGGCAGTGGCACCCACAAGAGACTCCTTGGCCAGGGCATGGCGCAGGGCAGAGAAGAGGCCTAGGGTGTTTTGTCTCAGATAGAGCACCTCGCCCACACCACCTGTGAAGTCCACGAAAGCCTCGTTCATGTGGCCACCTCGCATCACCTCATAGGAGCCGTGGAGCCTGTGGGAGCAGATCCGGGTGGGGGGCGAGGCACGCGTGAGCATCTCAGGCATCCCCCTGGGATCTGGGGGCCTCTATCCCAGGGTGTGCGATCCCCAGGGGCTATCCCCAAAATTTTCAGGTTTTTGCAGTGGGTGACTATGGCACACCCAGGAAGCCTTTGGAAATTGGGCCTATGATCCCTGGGGCCAATGGGTCTGTGAGGTTTGGGGGTCCTGGGAGAGCTGTGTCAGAATTCTGGGAGTCCTGGCACGGTGTCTAAAACTTTGAGTCTCTGGGAGATGTCTGCTTTGGGGGTAATCCCGATGGGGACTTGTCAGGGATTTCAGAGCCTCAGGATGGAGAAAGGCAAAGATCTGAGGGCCCCAGGGATTACACCCAGTATTTTGGGCATGCTTTGGATTTCTCAATGAACCAGGAGAGGCTGTCTGAGATCACAGGTCACCTGAAGGGATAAATCTTACATTTGGTGAATCCAGGGCCTGACAGATGAGATTTCAGGATCCTTAGAAATTATGGGTGACTGACTGGTGAGTCTCCAGAGATCTTTTGTGTGAAATGTCGATGGAGGAGGTGTTTGAGATTTGGAAGGCCCCAGGGGATGTTATGATATTAAAGTTCTCGGGCTGTGACTTTTTTGGGATCCTTTGTGGAATTTCTGGAAGATCCCAAAGGTTGGGGGACTCTGGTGGTCCCATGTGGCTTGAAGCCTGCTGCTGGGATTTGGGGTTGCAGCTAAGGGAGGGGTTGGGGTCCTTACTTTGCGTAGGCCTTTTCCAGGAGTGGAGCCCAGAACTCATTCCGCTGATCTGAGCGCACGAACATCAGCTTCCCCTCACGCACGGGCAGTCTGTCATCCACCACGACATCCACCCAGCAGCCAAACTGCCAGAGCTGGCGAGAGAAGGGACAGGGCCTGGGCTTGACTTCCAACCTCCAACCTTGCCTGGGCCCTAACGTCTGACCCCGGCTCTGCTGTGCCAGTCCCAGAGTCCAAAAATTACAGCCCCTAGGGGACAGTATCAACTGTGAAATCCATATCACCATGTCACCATGGGGGAAACTGAGGCACAGGCAGAGGAACTGAGCTATACCTGGAAATGGAAGACACCTGCATAGCCGTCTCGAAAGCCCTGTCCAGGGGGGACCACCCGGCACAAGAGTCGGGGGTACAGAGTAAGGGAGGCAGCAGCCGCAAGAAACCAGCAGTTACCTGGGAAGAAAGGCTAAGACTAGGTGAGGGTGGAAAGAGGAGACTGAGGCACAGGGAGAGGGGAGACCAAGGGGGAGGGGTGGGGAAGGGAGAGCCTCAGGACGAGGCTGTCAGGTCCCAGTTGCAACTTGCTGAAGCTGGAGGCTCCAGATGGACTCAGGGGTCTCACCCAGTTTCCCCTGACACACGTCCGTGCGGCTCATGTCTTCACAGATGAACTGCGGCTCAGCACAAAACTCCTGGGGGGGGATGGGGAGTCCAGGCCTCAGCCCAGGAGAGGGAGGGAAGGAGCGACTGGGAGGGCAGATGCCTGGGTCCCTTCTTGTCCTCCATCGCTCCAGAGTAACAAGGGCCTCCAACCTCATGAAAGGCCTGTGAAGCCTGTGGGCAGGTGTGTGGCTTCCCTGGGCCTCCCAGAACTCCGGGTGGCTGAGCCTACTCTGAGCCAGTCCCCAGTAGCCTCCTCCTCCCCCAGACCCAGGAGTCCAGGCCCCAGCCCCTCCTGCCTCAGACCCAGGAGTCCAGCCCCCAGCCCCTCCTCCCCCAGACCCAGGAGTCCAGCCCCCAGCCCCAATTTTACATGGGGTCTCATCCATTGCACTCCCTTGGCTTTCTCCGAGTCTGGCCCCAGCTGGTCATAGCCAAGGGCATCAGGGCCAGCAGGGAAGTAAGGGTCTTGGAACAGGATCCCAGAATCCAGGCAGGCTGCCCGGATTGCCTCATATCTCTGACCCCGAAAGGGCTGCAGGCCTCTGGCTCCAGCCCCTGCCTCCTCATCCACCAGCTGGATGGTGACCCTTCTGCTTCCGCACGCCATCTGAACACCCCGGGCTTGCAGGCTGGCCCCGAGCTCTTTAACCTCCTGAGTCACAGGGGCGGGGCCTCACCCCCATCTGAGCCCTGATGGGGGTCTTTAGGCAGTGAGGAGCCTTCCCTCGTTAATATTAATTGATGGTTTGGAGTGCCAGGGAGCAGGGACGCTTCTTCAGTGGTTTCCTCCCTGGGGCGTGGGGCCTTCAGTTGTGGCCAGGGTGGCAGCTTAATGGGCTTGGCCGGCAGCAGGAGGGAAGGTGGGCAGAGCTGAGGGAGGACCGGCCGCGCTGTGCCAGTGCCAAGAAGGAGGTCAGTGCGGGGTGTTTCTGCCTGCTCGTCTCCAAGGGGCTGAGCGGGGCAGAGAGGTCTGTTTGCCTCTGTGTGTGTCTCTCTCCACCTGATGGCCTTCCTCTCTCTCTGCCGTCCTCTCTCCCTTCCCCATCTCAGCCTCACTGTCTCCCCTCTCCATCTCTCATCTCTTTCTGTCTTTCCCGGTGTTCATTTGTTTCTGTCCATATCTGCCTGTGTCTCCATCCCTCTCTGTCTTTGTATTTCTTTCTGGGTGTCTCTGTTTCTTGCTGTGCCTGGCTGTCTGTCTTGTTTTTGCCTCACTATCCCTCTCCATATTTCTCCCTGTTCTTCTAACACACACAAGGCTCCTCAGTTGCCCGCCTTGGGACCCTAAGCTGCCCTCCAGCTCACTCTCCCTAAACCCTCAGGACCCGTCTCCTCCCTCCCCAACAAGGTAGACTGTAGCCTGGTTGCCCCAGGCACGGCTGACCATGGAGGCGCAGCCCTGTACCTTCCTGTGCTGTGCTGGGAGTCAGGGGCCCGCCTGTGACCATGATTGCTCTGTTCTGTCCACACTCGGGTCAGGGTCGCAGGGAGCACTATTTCTCCAAAAGGACTCTGGAGCCATTGCAAGAAATGAGAGAAATAGGTTCAGAGAGACAGAAACTCACCAGTATTTGTTCCAGTAGAGCCTTCATTCCCAGCGAGGTCTCCTGAGTCACCTAGCAGAGCCTTGTCACCTCACTGGTGCTCAGATGGCCCTCAAACCTTCTGGCATCCTTCCTCCAAGTGAGTCAATAGATATTGTCCAAGCCCCCTGGCTGCATGGCCACCAAAGAGGGGTTATAAAACAGGCTTTCCTCCTGCAGAAATGCCAAGACCACCCTCACCCTCAAGCGAGGCATATGACAGTGGTTACAGCAGGTGCCAGGATGAGGAGGAGAGGGCCTGGGGTCAGACCCCAGCTCTGCCACTCACAACTGTGTGTCTTTGGGCAAATCACTTAACCTCTCTGTGCCTGTTTTTTCATCTCTACAATGGGGGTGATAATAGGACTTCCCTTGGAGAGTTGTGAGAAGCGAATGAGTTAATACGTGGGATGTGTTCAGAGAAGTGGCTGACACAGTGTAGGTGCTCAACAAATGTTAGATGTTAGGAGTAAGTCCTGGGGTTCCATCCACGGGCATGCATCTCTGGCTCTGGGAGGCTGGTTCTGCTCTTTCCACAGTCACCTCTGCCATCTCACTGTCTGTTCTCCATATTCCCACCCCGCAAGGTCACAGCCCTTTCCTCTTTATTTGCCCATAAGTACCACAAACAATAGGACAAAGTATTTAATAAAACCTGAGTGACATCTTGCAGTGACCAGGAATCACCTACCCTGTGAAAACTGCCTGTCCCATGGTCCAGCCATTTGTCTCCGGCCTTACGCCCTTCACTGAAGGGCCATCCTGGCTCCCTGCAGGCCGGCCCATTCGGGGTTCTGTTCACCTCCCACCCCACAGGCAAGGGTTCTCTCATCACTCCCCGCATTACATCCAGGGTCCCAAATATCCCAGCCAGCATAAAAGCACCGCACCGATGGCAGCGTAGAGGATGTCTGCTGCTTTTCCGAGCCCAGCATCCCCTACCTCTCCTTGTAGGTGCATCCATTGTGTTTTGGGGATCCACCGGTCCCTTCTTTTGAAGCCCTGTGCCTTTGGTAGGCCTGGCCCCTCCCACCAGCCCCAGGGGAGGGTATTTGACCCAGATCAGCGATCTGAGCGGCCCTGGCCACACCCTGGCCGCACCCACTTGTTCAGAGCAGGTGAGGCTCCCCGCAGGCCTTTTGCTGGAGTCGTTGCAAGGGGCATTCTCTTTCCCTGGGGCCACTGAGGTGGCAGATTATAAACCCAGAGTGACTGGCATCTATTTTGGCCACCTTGTGGGGACACTCTGCCTGAGAATGAGGACAACGAAGAGCCAAGCAACGGGAGAGAGAGGAGATTCTCAGGAGCACAGAACCTCTGAATCCAGATGTGCTTGAAACATTAAAGGAGCCAATAGATTCTGCTCCTCTCTCTTTCCCCGTTTTTATTTTTATTTTATTTTATTTTTCTCACTAGCAACCAGAAAAAATCTTCCCAATATAATTAGCGTAATTTCTACAGAGATGCATCCGCCTGAACGTCTGGAACATCCACCCCTGTCGCTGCCGACACATGCATGGAGTCAGGGCATCTGTTGCCAGTTTGCCCCCGTTTGTTTACTCCAGCCCCGCCTCCTTACCTAATTGGAAAGTGTATTAGTCTGTTTCTGTTGCTTATAACAAAATACTTGGAACTGGGTGATTTATAAAGAAAACAAAATTTATTGCTTAGTGTCTGAGGCTGGGAAGTCCAAAGTCCATCTGGTAGTTGCAACAGTGACCCAGGGGTCTCACATTGTGAGATGGCGGAAGCAGAAAAAGCAGAGAGAGACAGACTCTCCTCTTCTTTTAAAGCCCTCAGAAGCAGGCCCCTGACCACCATTTTTAATCCATTCACTACTGCACGGGTCCTACAATCCAATCACCTCTTCAAGGCTCCACCTTTCAATAATCATAATAGGATTTCCCACCCTCTTAACAGTCACAGTGGGGGCTAAGTTTCTAATACATAAAACTTGGGGGATACTATTAGGCCTCACGGCTAGCTTAACATCAGCACAGCCAGGTTAAGCAACTTTCCCCCCTTCTCCCCCTCGTCTTTCCCTTTTCTGCTCCTGGAACTGAGCAGCAAAATTCCTCTCCTGGGAAGGGATAAACGTGATCGTTATCATCAAAGGAACGTCTTGTGGGTTGCAGGAGCTGGCTTCAGGCTGGAGTGCTTTGCACTGATATAGTAACGACACTAATTAGAAGCCGATGCCCTCACTGACCAGGTGTTAGCAGACCACAAGGGCTGTGTCACCTTGTATACAGTGATTTCGAAATTGCCCATTACTCTGCCAGAGAACCCTCAAAGGTTTACAAACCCCTGCTTTCCTTTGTTCAGGAGAACTGATCTGACTCAGTCTCCCCTCCACCTTGGTGGAATAAAGCCTCTTGGCTGAAATAGTGCTTGGCTCGTGTCTCTCTCTCTACCTTTTCTCCATCTCACTGGACCTAACAGAAAAAATTCAAGCTTCAGGGAATTGGGGGGTACATAATTGAATCCACTACAGAAAGTGTATTGTGTTCCGATTCACCGAATTAAGACGGCATTCGAATTATTAAAAAAAAATCTGTGTAAAACATCATGAAAATTAAAAGACCCACCACAGAGGAGATGTTTGTTACACATATAATAGCAAATGTTTACTCTCAATAAAGTGCTCACTGAGCTACCATGCACCAAGTACTATTCTAAGCACTTCACAGATATGATCTCATTTAATCCTCACCTGAGCTTGAGAGGTTAGGTTTACAGTAACTCCCATTTTACAGGTGAGGAAAGTGAGGCACAGAAGTATGATGCTTTGCCCATGCTCTCACAGTGGCAGAATCAGGATTTGAATCCAGCTGGTCTGGCTTACCAATTATACTGTATTGCCTCTCAAAGGATTAATATTCAGAATGTATAAAGAGCTCCTATAAATAAACAACAGTTGACCTGATAGAAAAATGGGCAAAATACATGAATAAACAATCCCAGAATCAACGTACAATAAGCATATGGAAACATGCTTGACCCCAGGGAAATGCTAATTAAGACCATATAAAATACCATTATACCTACTAGATCAGGAAGAAACTTAAGAAATCTGAAAATACTAAGTGTTGGTAGAGATGTGGAGCAACAAAACACCAATGGAAAGGTGTAGTTTGGTAAAAATTCTTTAGTAGACAATTTGGCATTACTTAGCAAATGCCCATCCTATGACCCAGCAATTCCACTCCCAGGTGTATATGTCTGTATTAGTCCGTTTTGTGTTGCTTAAATACACAGAACTGGGTAATTATAAAGGAAAATGAAATTTATTGCTTACAGTTTCTAAGGCTGGGAAGTCCAAAGTCCAACTGGTGGTGGTGACAGACCCAGGGATCTCACATTGCAAGATGGTGGAAGCAGAGAGAGCAGAGAGAGAGCAAGACAGACAGACTCTCCTCTTCTTTTAAAGCCCTCAGCATGGAGCCAGGGACCACACACCCCTCCCACAACCAGGCACACTGCCAGCACGAGGGAGCATGTCAAAAACATCACCTCCATGTGGGTAGCCCACTGCAGCCACCACAATAACCATGGCTGCTGTGAAAGTGACTAGACACCACAACCACCACACAGATGGTCCGCCAGCCACTGGAGTGCACTGACACAAAGAGAGTCACCAGCAGAGACCCAAGTAAAGAAGAGGATGTCTCTCCGCAAAGC